TTGCGCGTAACTGCGACGCACTGGCCGCAGTTGAGATTAAAGAAATAGATTGTGTTCACTGCGACACAGTAATCGCAGTACTTGCTAAACTATTCACTATTCTTACAGTTGCTGAAAAAATAGCCAATGATAAATAAATATCTTAATTTTCCGATTCGATGGCTTTTAAACACTTACAATAATGAGTGAATGGAGTATAAAAGGACACATCTCAAGCATACGAGCTCATTTCTTTCCTTTTCTATTAGCAAGACACTTCCATTTTGTCTCTCAAATTATCAAGGTAAGCATCATGGAATTTTCAAAGTTAAAGTAGAGATTTTTTACCAAAAGAAGAACTTTTTGAAGAAAAAAACGATTTTTTATAAAGTTTCACCAAAGGTTTTCGGGGTCGAGAAATCCAAATCTGAGATTGATTTTTCAAAATTTTGAATTCCTTTTTTTCATAAAAAGTATTTTCATGAAAAAATTTTATTTTAACAAGAAATGTTTACGAAAAAGTAATTTACAAAAGCATTTTTGTGTAAAAAAGCTTTTTGTAAAAAAAAATAATTTTTATAAAAAATAATTTTTTTATGAAAAAAATTTTGCGAGAAAAATTTTTTTGTGAAAAAAAATAATTTTTTTGTAAAAAATCAGTTTTTTCGTACAAAAATTTTGTTGCTAAAAAGCCATGTTTTTACAACAAAGTGATCTAAAAATAATTTTTTGTAACAAAAAATAATTTTTTTTTTATCACACAATTTTTTGTGGGGAAAATCAGTGTTGTCGTAAAAATTTTTTTCAGAATATCAATTGTTTTCGTAAAAAATTTCTTTTGTTTTTCTTAAAGAAGCTTTTCTTTTGTGAAAAGTTTCGACTGCAACTTTGATTTCGTTAAAGTTAGAGTTTAAAGTTGAAGCATGCTCCTTGAACTTGAACTTTAAAGTTTAAAGTAGTACTTTACCTTTAATTTTAAAGCAAAGTTTAATATGCCATCCTTATTCTGGTCTATCCCTCGACCAAAAAATAGATGGTAATAAGACACACTTGTACATGTCAATAGAAATGATTAAGTGAAGTCCCACTTATTATTCCTCAGAATACTCAAATCCATTTTGATTGTACTAGCAGTTCAACTAACTTTTATTTGAGTCTAAAACTGGAATTCGGAAATTTAATATCATACATGTTCCGAAATTCGAAAGTTAAGAAAGTTTTTGCTGTATTAGTTACCAAGATAAGTCATTGTTAAAATAAGATGACTACCGTTTCTTTCTTAATGAAGACAGTCTTTTATGGCTAAAAAAAAGTAAAATGCAATACTTTATCTATGTGTAAACTTCAACCTATCCACGTGCTTTAGGTTTTGCAATGTTAAAAAGGGTATCTTCTTGCCTGATATTGTAGTAAATGCGCAGAACAGATGATGTCCATAGTTCAGTAGTTGTTTGACGATGATCTCTCTCTTTTACATCAAGATAGCGCGCTTTTAGTCATTATTTTTGTATTTTTTTTCCATCATAGGTAAATGCTTCGTTTCAAAGCTTCTGTATTAAAAAAAACCAAGGCACGTTGACTACAGCGTCGTCAACAGCGAGAAATGGTGAATCAATTGTTCAGTGACTATAATACTAGCGAAAGTGATGATGAAAGTAATATTGCAATTGATGACAATAATCAATCACCTGAATGTGAGTTTAAAAATTTATCACCAAATATTCCCACATGTTTACCATTATTTGAACCAATATATTATCAAAACGATCAGTTTGACAACGTACATCCTTTTGATGATCATTTATTAGACATGAATAATGAAACACCATTATTTAATGGCAGTTCTATAACTGTCAACAAAGCCGTACGTGAACTCTGCTATTTCTTCACCGATTTCAATATAAACAAACGTACTGCAGCTCATCTACTTCGTATTATTAAAAGATTTTTACCAAAACCTAATAGACTACCAACGTCCTGGAAAGGGATCATGAAAGTATTAGGTCATGTATCAAGATCACGAACAACATTTTTATGCTCAAGCTGCTTTCAACAATGTCAAAAGGGTCGATATGGTACTAAATTATGCACAAATGAACAATGTCCTAAAAAAAATCGAACAATGAAAAGTACTGAAATAGTCGAACTAGTACATCTAGATATTCGTACACAAATACAAGCCATCTTAGCTAGAAATAAATTATTACTTAATCGAAAAGATTTGTATCCTATGTCGGATGTTTGTTTCGGCGAATCTTATCAAAATCAATCAAGTACAACAACTAATCGTGTTACTTTAATCGTTCACACGGACGGAGCGCCACTCGTTAAATTATCAAAACAAAGTATATGGCCCTGTTTCGCCTCACTGGTGGAATTACCTCCACCAGCTCGTGACTACCATAAAAATACCGTTATACTGTCACTATGGACGTCAAAAATCAAACCTGATCCAAATACATTTTTACATGAAACCATCGAAGAACTTAAACTACTTATTAATAATGGTACATCAATATTTATTAATGGACAAGAATATGAAATTACTTTAAGAACACAATATTTTATATCTGATCTTCCAGCAAAAGCTCTTTTTTGTAAAACTATCAATTTTAATGGCTATTCAGCCTGCACCGAGTGTTGCAGTACAGGTAAGTGTAATCATTTTGGAGGCTTTTTTATTTTGCGATCTGAAATATTTTAGTTGTATACAATAATATGTTTTTGGGATAACTTTAGGTGCATTCTAAGCCATATTATAAAAATCGAAAATTTTTATAATACATACAAATTTAAGTTTCAATTGGAGTTCGATTTAAAGAGTCTTACTTAAAAATATATTTTAAGGCCAAGCTATTTTACACGATTAGTAAATTTTATGAGTGGATAGTTCCAGACTAAGATTGTGTCACATAGATAAGAAATATGATCTTAGATGTGATATCCGAATGCAATTTATAGAAACCTGTGATAACCTTGAGTATGTAAATACAAACATTAATACATGTAGCAAATAAACCTTAACGTCTTTACCTATTTCATCCAAATTAATTTTTGACATGAAAAAAACAAACTTCTAGTTTCATATGGTATCTCTAAATGAACAGTAGCTATTTTTCGCACACTTNAGACGATGTTCATTCATTAAATACTTTTCAATTTTCTCTCAAGATAATATGAAACGTATTCTAGTTATATATGATAATATCTTTATTTTTATTTATACAATTTTATCATACAACAAGCTAATAACTGATGTTACTCGTTTTGTTTTTAATTAATGAAAACTATTCGAACATTCATTATATTTTATCAGTAATCTTTTTCTTATTCACTAAATCATAAACAAATATTCTTTCATCTTTTAGATTAAATATGATATGACAAAGACATGTATATATCCAATATTCCATAGACTTAATGTTAATACGAAAACATATAATATGAAACATGTTGATTACAATTAAAAATTTGTTTTGTATTAATAATCAACTTCTTGTTTTCTCTATTCCAATGTTGAAATTATATTTCTCATTTAAATTTCATAACTATACAATATTACAGAAGCATCTATAATTAATTATAACGAAGAAACAGTATAATTCAACAAGAAATAGATCAAAGATAAAAGAAAACACATTATCAAGTTTAAGAAGATTTTCTTATTCCAATATAGTTTCATTTTTCTCTTGTGTACATGCTTCCTTAAGTAATGAAAGAAACAAATAAGAATACACATATTCTTTATAGAATAGTTCTAAAAGACAAAATAAGAAAAAAATTCTGACGCAAAATCTGCTTCTATTACGAATAACAAAAAATAAAAAGCTAATTTAACAGTATTATTATGGTTAATTTTTCATTTAAATTTCTTTCTACGCAAAAACTTTAATACAAAATTATCATCACCATATCGATACGTGTATATATTAGTGTTGTCATTCGTCCGCTCTTCATAATTACAACATTTATTTTGATTTTATTTCTTGTATATATGAGTACTAAATAGTCATAAAACTACATTCAAAGTAACTCAAAATAAGATAACTATAATGACGAAAACAAACAATTAGCGCAATAGTAAATGCAAAACACACTAATACAGCAGTAAAAACAATAAATACTGCTGGTACAACTTTAAATCAGGCAAATATTATGACAATAATTGCAAGCACTAGTACCATAAATTCAGATCAGACAACTTCAAATGTCATAACAGAAATCATTTTGCTTGCGATTCGAAATACAACAATAGTAGATATTACTACCATGCATCGCAACAGATCCTGATTATTTTCAAAAAATTGTTCTAATTCATTGTAATTTTGGCGAACAATTCTGTTTTCTTTTCAATTTTTGGCACTCTTATGAAGGAGCATCCATAATCCAGAATATCAGAATTATTTGCCAAAACGAGAATGAATCAAAATATGCTTAAACAAAACAGAAAATCAGGACCCGTTATGACACATCGTACTAAAGAAGCTTCCAAGATGAATGCAAAAATTACCACAAAAAGAATACTAGATTCCTTTGTTACTACAATACGTGACGCAATAGTCTTGAAAGAGATTATTTCTCTATTCTCTAGTTAAGATGTATTTTATCATAATCAGGAAAGCCATCAAACAGATGACCTTGTACACACACATCGTACCAAAGAGGGCGGAGCCACGAGGTAGTGGCGTAATTAGAAAACTGTGGCTGGTAGAGCAGAGAACTACAATCATGAGAGAAATCCATGATATATAGTGTCAATGATGGTAATGATTACGTTTTTTTTTCTTCTAGTGATAGGGCAAAGGTGATCATTAATCAGACGGCACTCGGTCTAGCCCACCCTTAGTTACGCTACTCTCACAAGACTTGATTAGGTTCAAGCCCCATCTAAATTTCTTTTTGACAAGGTAAGATAGAAGTAAAAATTTCTTTTTCTCCTCGAATCAGGTTAATAAATTTCAGCAACGAAGATTACATGTCTATTAATCATTTTCAACAATGAACGAAATCACAATGAAATATCGTATTTTTCTTTGAACATTTCTGCTTTGACTTTTCTATTTCTGTTTTTTTGGTAAAGCAGACCATAAACTCTTCTTGCGACGATCCCATTTCTATAAACATAAACACATTTGCATATGTCATCAAATACATATCTTTTTACGCAAGTTTCGACACCGTTCTACATGGTAAAGTGTAAGTTCGAAAAAAAGAAGTATTCACTGCATTTCATCTAAATAACATACAAAAACTGATCTTCTCTCCTTTTTAGCTTTCATATACGAATGTTATAAAAAATATTGAACCTACTCTAGAATTAAAACATTCCGTTGTGTATGCTGAGAACAGTAGTTACGTGATAATTATTCGAATTAAAATCATGATTATGCAAAGAGTTTTATGGACCAAAAAGCAATCTGTCATTCGGAAAAAGATCAATGATTGACGGTCATATTTGTTCTCCTAAAAATTTTACCATTTTTTTTTCGAATAAAGAAACTTTCAAAGGATACTTTTTTCACATAAATATTGATTTATTCTCTATGGGAAAAAAATGCATCTCATTTTCCTTAATGGATGACATTGAAAATACATTAGAACTACCATTCTATTGGTATCGACGGCAAGATCTAAAACTACGGAACAAACAATTTCGTCAATTGATCGATATAAAAAAAAAATATATTTACTGTTCAAAAAACAAATATCATGTCAATGTATATTAATGAACACTCACTTATTCACAAATCGCACTAATTCAATTTCCATATCTTGCTAAAAAAATTGTTTTTATACTTACGTACACACCTTTTTCTTTACAAATCAGTCGTTTATTTTCTTGACTTTTTTACATGATAGATTTAGGAAAATGTTATCAATGACTAAACAATCAATAACCATAGAAAATTTAGTTTCATCATAGGTTATGTTTGATTTTGTATGACTTCTAATGTAACTTGAAATAAAATCTCTAACAATCTCTTGCAATCAACAAAATTAATAAACAACACATTAAATCAGTTTTTTGCCTCATCAAGTGATCCATTCTAATTAATTATTAATATTTATATGTATTCATGAATGTAATGGCTATATATTTTCTTTAATATTCTTATTGAGCAGATGTTGTCGTCAACTTGTTCATTACTCGTTCTCATATCGCAATTCCGGAAGAAGATATATACATGTTAGATGACCTTTCTTTGTTGAAACATATAGAAAAAAAAACGGGAAAAAATTTTTTACGCGTTCATTTTCTCTTTCTTTTATGTATATATAGTTGTTCGAATTGATGGCGGATGTCTAGAGTGAATGAACAATAGATTTTACAGGAAAAAAAAAAAAGAATCGATACTTAATAGATGGAAGCTTTTCAAAGTAAAACTATATGAGTAAGTGTTGTTGATCTTTTTTTTTCTTCTAAAATCACAATGTTTGCATTAATATGATGGTTTGAATATTCAATTGTTCACAATGTAGACAGGAAACTATACAAGTTGTATGTATGTATGTATACATATATGAATAGATTGAACAAAATTTGTCACCGCCCCCCAACTGTGATATTAAGTATACGTACATAAAAAGCCTTGATTTTTTTTTCTTTTTGATTGATCGAGTTAGTTAATTGGACAGGCTAATGCAAATGTCTACTCGTTAATGCTTAGAAGGAAGAATCACACATGAGGGGGTAAGACGGAAGAGGACGCGCATGTATTTCAAAGACAAACATATGAGTTAGTTGTTCATTGAGAAAAGAGCGAAAGGCATTGTACAGATGTGTGATGATGGATGCTCGTTATTTTAATGATTATAACTTTCTCTTTAATTTTTTTTCTCTCACTCGTCTCATTGCCTTCGGATACGAAGTGAACGACAACAGCATCCATTTTCTGACTACAATTGAAAATAGAATAGAAAAAAAGAAAAGGTATCCACTTGAGACTTTGACAATAGAGTCTATATCTATACCTAGCAGGAGTAAGAGCTAATCAAGCAATGTTCTAAATATAATCCGTTCCTGATCATATGCATGAACGACGAACATTATATAGAGTAATCCTATGTCTAACGTTTGTGATTGTTTTGTTTTTTCTTTTTAATTGCAAACAGCAATAGAATTCTATAGTATAAAATTTTCAAATTGATGGTAAGATACTCGTATAACAAATATTACTAATTATGAAAAGGTTGCGAATTAATTGTTTTTCTCTGAGTCGATATATGCATGACTATATGTCACTACATCTAATGTTCTAATTGCATGCGACGATGCGCTTTGTTCAAAATGTGTGTGTGTGTGTGCGTGTGCACTTGTTCATTCATTGTATATGCCTATTGACCATGCAAACTAGTTTTCATTTTTAATCAAACAACGAAGTATCGTCGTCAAAGTGATACTCGTTGATAAACAATAGTGAGAACTATCACTCGAGTTACGTACTTGAGTAGTCTATATTTGTAGATAGGTTCAATAATACTCGATATATGTATATGTATAGTCTATTGAGTAAAGGCAACAGTTGACCATCTTGAACCATAGTTCCGTTCAACGCATGAGTCTTGAGGGACAATATAATCAAGAGAAAAAGAAGTTGTCCATGAAATCATTATGTGAGTGTCATCTGCCTTTGAGATTTTCTAACAATAAAAAAATCATCTTCTTTTCGCATTAGTTTTGTATTCAGGTGCAATGAACATCTGTGTAAACTTTTAGCAAAAGAAAAATAATATTTTGTTGCATCACACTGTATATGTCTTCTCATTATCTATGGTTTCTATTGAATGTGACACAAACTAAGTGCATTTGCTTTTATTATCTTAAAATAGAAATAAGAAACTTTGCTCAATGAAATGGTATTCTTCTTTTTTTTTTTCTTCGTGCCAAGGTCTGCTTGTTCTGCCTTCTTTCATTTGCAAAATTCAATTAAGTCCGTTAAACACATGCTTGTGCCGGTCATCATGAGAAAGTTACGAGCTGCTATTCTTTATTCATAAAAGGTTATTCTCTTAGTCACCATCATTACTTCTTGTTTTATATGTTCATATGCCATAAGTCATTCTCTTCCGGTTAGTTCTGATTGTAGTTATTATTATCCTCCCACTATGCTTCTTTAGTTGTCGTTCGAATGACGATTATCGACGACTAATCGCAGTTGGAGAGTGAACACAGAGAAAGGAGAGGCCAGAGAAGAAGAAATAAGCATAACCGGTACGTCTGTTTATCGACTAATGCAACTACTACCATGATCAACCGTATCGAGTATTGTTCGCACATTTAATAAAGGTTTTTCTTCTCTTTTCTAGTTTCTCTCGTGTTCACCTAATTATAAAGTTTAACATTTCATATGACAATAATACAGTACATATCATGCAAAGTATATTTATCGATTTTGAAAAATAGGTTGCATCTCACTAACTAAGCATGACAATATGTCTGTCTGCTCATCAATTGTCATTAAATAAACTCCTCCTTTGTGCACTGTCGTGAGTTCATCAATTGATTAGTATGACAAGACTGAACTGTGTGGTTATCATCTTTTTTTTTCTTTTTTTATGTAAATATTTTTTTTTGTTTGAATTATATGCATAACACTTTTGTTTTTTTGAAGTGGACGTGACTTTCGCTTGACAAGCGCTTAAACATCAATAACAACATTATTAGTTCAAACGTAAAGCATGTTTTGTGAGTGTGTGTCTATGCGTATATTTTTGCGATAACGTTCGTTGTTATTATCCTAGTTGATAAATGCATACTCGCGCACATACATTTTTCTTTTTTCATGTTTTCTTATTAACGAAAAAAAAGTCGGTGTTTTATTGCTTAAGATTGAATAGTAATTCTTTTGAACTAGTCTTTATAGGAGAAAAAGAAGCGAGTATATATATATACTCTAAAGCAATTGAGAATATGTGTTGAATAGTTATGTTATGCTATCGGATGAAGACATTATTCAGGTATAACCTTTTCACTAACATTGATAACGAAATCAAGATGCATGTAGGATGCACATCTATTTATCTAATCTATTGATCACATGAATAGTTTAGAATTGTTTGTAAATCTTTTAGTCAATTTTGAAAAATTTACTTTTATCACACTTTATTGCTAATCAGATTATCATTGTCATATATAAGTGAGAAAAACAAACAAATGCAAATTATCGTATTTGTTTCTTGTTTAAAAATCTTCATTACTTATTAGGATTATTTGTAATTTACACGAGATATTCATGAAAATAATCTTTATCTTTCAAGCAGAATAATTGCTAATTATTCAATTTAATTTTTTTTTTTAGATATGTCTATAATTATTAAAAATATGATGAAAGTGTTCCTATTTATTTTATTGTTCATTCAAACAATTTATTCTCTTGAATTAAGTAAATATTTAAAGTTATTTAAAATTTACTTATTAAATTTGATGTTATTTCATATAGAAAAATTATCAACATGTCAAACAGCATTAGGTATGCAATCAGGCTCTATTCCTGATTCAGCTGTATCAGTATCGAGTAGTTATGATTCAAATACTGTTGGATCTAAAGCTAGTCGGTAAGTTATTTAATTAACGAAATAATATCTATATATTGTTCTTGTTTTGTACATAGAGTTCGAACAGAACAGTATGGTGGTGCATGGTGTCCATTAAATCAAATAAATTCAATACCAAATGAATGGTTAGAAATAGATTTTGGAAATTTAACTTATTTAACACAAGTTGAAACACAAGGTCGTTTTGATAATGGACGAGGAAAAGAATATACTGATTATTATATTTTAATGTATACACGATTGGATAATATAAAAAATAATGAAGCGTTATGGATTGAATATCGATTGAAAAATGAAAATACTAATTCAACATGGATACGAGCTAATCAAAATACTTATATGGGAGAAATTCGTCAATTAAGTAAGTAATACTATGAGATCAAAATCAATCGAGAAATTTTTTCAGATTCAACTTTCGATTATTTGAAAGAAAACAGTAAGTGTAAGTTTTCAGTAGTAGTCGAAGTTTTTCGACTCTCTCTCTCTCTAGTGTCTTATGAATCTTAGAAATTGAGAAGATTTTAGAAGTCGATGTCTACGTTTCGTCTAACAATTCAGGATAACAGACTCCTTTTGCATAGTTCGTTGATAGCGAAAAAAAGATGTTGAACAACATTAACAATAAGTCTTAAATAATTCGAGAATATTTCAACGCTTTCCTTGAAATTTAAATGACTGGAATACATTAGTGAATGTTCTAAATAGGGTAATTTTTCATTTTTACACAGATAAACCAGCTGTATTAATATGCGACAGTCATCATTTAATCAACATGCAAGGCATAAATTGATCAAGTTATAATATTGGGAATAATCAATATGAGTGTTTTTCAGTTTGTTGATATGCATAATAACTGTGAGCCATGCTAATTGATAAATATAATGGATGTGTACTAAAAGCTTTCTTGTCGGTTAAATTGCTGGTTAGAATAATAATAATGTTAAATTATGAGAAACGGAATACAAGAAAAAAGGAAAAATAGCGAGTAAATAGCAACAAAACAAAGAAAACTTATACAATTTTAATCTCAAATTCAAGTTAAAGAATGGTTTTATGTAGTCACTTTTTCTGAAACAAGTTATTATTATTTTATTACCACATCTAAATGTATGCTAGAGGACACTATAGACTATATAATGGCACAATATTATTACTAGAACATTAGGCTAAATTTATGTAAAAGTTGAAAGAAAATATGTGTTCAGAAAAGTGTGATATAGACTTTTCAAAATTTTCAATTTATATACTTTACATAAATAACAATAAATTTATAGAGAAAAGTAACGTCTTTATTGTCCATCAAGCACTCGAATAACTAAGTCTAGAAGTGTTGTTCTCGACATTTTACTACACAAATAAAAACAATTAATTAAGTTGCAATTGGCAAACGATAACTATTATGTATAATTAAATATTCAAACGAGAAAAATATAAAAAATACGTAACAGTGACATTAAAAAAAAACCGAGAAGAAGACAAGTGTCATGGATGCATAAAATGGATCATCAGTTCTATTTATTATTGATGTTGCCGTTTAAAATAGGGTTAAATGTAGCGAATCTTGTTCTCTATATGATCATAGCCATAACACATAATAAATATCTTTTAATACATAAAAGAAAAATTTCAACATGAATTTAAGATCAAAGGACTATAGTGTAACAATAAAGAAAAAATTCTGTTCGAAATACAGAAATGAATAAGAAAGATCGCTTCTTTTATAATTATTTATCTTTTAAAACAACTGTAGTCTGTTAGAGATTTTTTTTTTACTTGACATATTTTGTATTAGCATAACAAAGCTAAAGAACATATATGAGTTTTATATTTTAATCCTAATGGAGCAGTACTAATCAACTTTGTTTTTCTTATTTAGATCCACCTATTGTTGCTAAACGACTTCGTTTTTATCCTGTTAGTAAACAAATGCGAACTATTTGCATGCGTGTCGAAGTGTTAGTGTAAAATTTCGTTTTAAATACAATTTAATATTCTCTTTGATTTAGTTATGGTTGTTTATTTTCTGATGGTATTGTATCTTATTCAATGCCACAAGGACGTATTGATGTAAATTCGTTTGGTGATGATACTTACGATGGAAAATATATTTCGTCTACAAACATGTTAATTAATGGTCTAGGACAATTATCTGATGGTATAACAGGTTCAGAAGAAATATCAATTATTGATGAACATCAACCATGGATTGGTTGGTCAAATGAAACAAGTACATATATAACAATAAAATTTCAATTTGATTCTCTTCGTCAAATAAATCGTGTAACAATACATGCAAATAATTTATTTTCAAAAGAAATTCTTATATTTAAAACTGCAATAATATCATTTTCAAAAGTTGATGATGAGAAACATTATTCAAATGTAATTATTTATCAACATAATCGTGATGATATATTTGAAATAGCTCGTCCAATATTAATTGAATTAAATAATCATATAGCAAAATTTGTACGTTTAGATTTATATTTTGATTCAAAATGGTTATTAATTAGTGAAATAACATTTGATTCACAGATATATAATGAAAAAATTGAAAAGAACAATGAAATCAAAGAAAAAATTCTTAAAAAATCGCTTAATATCGACGATGATTTACCTAAACATTATCGAGAAATACAAAAGACAACAATATTAATGAATTCATCTGCAAAAATATCACCAGTTATTACAATTGAATTATCTTTAGCTTTTTTTATTGGTGCTTTATTAGTTATAACTATTTTATTAATTGTTTCACTTATATGGATTCTTCAACGAAAGAAAAAATTACAATTTCAGAAGTACATAACTTTAATAAACTTACTTTTTCTTAATATATTTTTATTTATTTTTAGATTAACTGAAAAACCATGTAATAATTCATCATGTTGTACTTATCCAACATTACAAATACGTGAATTTCATGATTTAAATGCACCTATTGAAAGTGCTATTGATGATCGTGAATATGCAATGCCAGATGTAAATTTTTATTCAACACTTTCACATAAATATAATTTGACTAGTCCTCGTCTATTTCGAGCATTAACAATAAATCCTAATAATATGAATTCATATCCAACATTACAACCAATATCACATTGTTGTTTTCATCAACAACAATATTTACCTATGCATCAACAATCACCTATGTTATTTTCTCAAGTAGAAGAAAGTCCACCAGTTGAAGCTCCTTGTGGAAATAGTTTAATGATTACAATGAATATAATCATGGATAATAAACAGGTGTCAATAAAAGAAATAAATAGTGATGATTTGATTTGTATTGAAAATATTGGTCATGGATTAGTTGGAAGTATACATCTAGCTGAACTCCAAGTAACTAATAATGATAATGAGATAAAAAAACAAAATGTAATTATTAAATCATTAAATGATAATGCAGATGTTAAACAAAAGTAAGCTAGGAAAGAATGAAAATATTTCTGATTATACTAATTCTATTATAATTTGTAAAAAGAAGTTAATGAACTTAAAGTAATGACCTATTCGATAGTATTGTTAATTAAGATTTCCAAATTCCTCTTTTTAGATTGGATTTCATTTTCGAGATTTTAGCTCAGCAAGAAAAACTATAAAGTTTAAAACTCATCAAACTGTTGAAACCGTTCTTAAGTAGAGATGCGCAAATAAAGCTTTGTTCGAATCTTGTATTCTGACTGAGATAACTTTTCTAAGTCTTACTGTGGGTAACCTCTACCCTACACATCTCTATTTTAAACATCTATGAACACTCAATAGCTGAATAATAAAAATGTCTGAAATCTTCTGTTTTTTTTTTCAGAGCATTATTTTGGAAAGAAATTGAACTACTTTCAATATTGAATAACTCCAATGTATGTACTCTATTGGGTATTTTAAATTCTCAACGAACAGTAGCTGTATTTGAATATTATTCACTTGATTTATATCAATATCTTCGTCAACAATTAATACCGTTAGATAATTGTTCAGCATCAAGCTTTTTACTCTCATTAGCATGTCAAATAGCATCCGCAATGAAATATTTATCATCGCTTCAAATAATTCATCGAGATTTAGCTGTAAGAAATTGTTTAATATCACCTACAGATCATCAATTACATCTAACTGATATCGCTATGGCTAAATCAGAATATGCTAATGATTATGCTCGTGTTGGACCACATCAATCTCGTATTGCAATACGATGGTCTGCTTGGGAATCTATTTTTCTTAATAAATTTTCTTTGAAATCCGACGTTTGGTCATTTGGTGTAACACTTTATGAATTATATACTTATGCACGACAACGTCCTTTTCATACGTTAACAAACGAACAACTTGTACAACAGTTTGCTTGTCTAACACAAACAGAATTATCATCACCATGTTTAGTCAGAAACAATCTTCATTTGCCACAACCAGAATTATGTTCAAAAGAAATTTATGATATGATGTGTGAATGTTGGCAAAGAGATTGCCAATATCGACCATCATTTGCTGATATACATACATTTTTACTTGGTAAAGCATCTGGTTCAGTTTCATTAGCATTACCTGAACTATAGATGCGATGATTGTTTTTTTCTTTTATTTTTAATTTTGTACTAAAATATTGCTTTAGTCAAATTTCTCATTCGGGTTTATGAATATTTAGATATATATCAATTTTTAATGATAATATAAATACATCATAAAAATTTTGAGTGTTTTTTGAACATCTATTGCAATAAACAGATACACTAAGGCTATTTTTATATAGTAAGACATATATGTAATCCGAAGTATTATATGGTGAATAGTTTCCATTAGTCGAATTCATATGAAATTAGATATCTGCTTGCATTCTTCGAAAGTTTATTTATTTACTCTATTCGATTGAATCAAGTTGTTTCGTGAAAAACATATCATTGTATCAAATATGTTAACATAAATGGTTAGCTGAAAGTGTTGAGCCTTCTCAAAGAATTGCTCTTTTTCATTTTGTACAAATCCAAAATTTTTCAAACTTTAGTATATGATTTTGTGTAACTAGGTGAATATTATTCTAAATTGTCATATTTTGATCTCTACTATTAGGAGGAATATATACTTTAATATGCTAGAGAGTTTTCTTTTTTCAAGTGACCAACTTAGAAAACAATGTTTTTATTCACTAGTAGTAATGCATATATTCGACTGTCGATATAAATCTCACAAGAACTTGTCCTATCTTTGGCGATGAACACTTACTGTTCTGTGATTTGATCAGCAATCTCACTTCGTGATTATCATTATATAAATCATATTTAATACTAAAATTTGTTCTTGTTATAAATCTCTTAAGTTTTTTGACGTTTATTCTTGTTAAAAACAATGGAATGGAACAAAGCCGTAGAAAGATAAAATATCGAAAATGAATAAACAAATGTTGTTAAAAAGTTATTCAACACGAAGGATTGACAATATACATAAGTTTCAGAATAACCAATCAAAATGAAAGATAATTGTAGAGATATGGTATACATATCTAATTAACATTTCAATGTAATTCTATTTCGAATAGCTCTATTTTAATATTTTTCGTTTTACATTTTTTTTCTACATGTTTTCATGTGAATTCTGAGTACTTTTTATTTTTATAACTTGAAAAAGAAATTATTTACAATGTTAAACGGTATTTTTCCATTATTAGCAAGGATCAAGCTGTAAGAACTTAAGAAAATAATCGTCTATTTACAAGGTATTATATACCAAAGTTTCAATGTTTTTGGATTTTTTTTTGTAACCAAGAAAGCATTTTTTCTCAAAGAATTCAATAAAATTGACTTACCCTTAAAAATCAATAGAAGAACAATATGAGACAAGAGAAAATTTCGTTTCATCCATGTTCCACTCCAATTGATCGGAAATTAATGGTTAAAACAAAGGTAGTATAAGAGAGCTAAGATTCTCCATGGATGAAAGATCTATTGTTGTGATCGAAAAATGTATTCTTTTTCACCTGCAGACCTGGATCTAAGTTTGTAACAAGTTTTGTGTTTTACCGCTATCCGGAAATCAATATTGACAACATAACATAACAATCATCACAAACAGAAGAATTTAATACTTTACTTTTCTTTGTTCATATGGAAATTATTCTTATGAAATTCTTCGACTATAATGGTTCACTGAATGTAATAATTTGTGAAATACAAAGCAATTTATCACGATGGCTCTCAACGAATGCTTTTAAGATATATGATAAAAGATTGAACATCATGTAGTATCATATTTAGCCATATACATGTATATAATAGAAAAATGAAATAAACTTTATTATTCTAAAATCATCGGCGACTTTTTATGATCCAGTCAGCGCTAGACGATTTAAATGAATCTCATTAGTAAAGACGAATTTTCCGTAAAATCTTCCTCACACATCTAGCATTTACATCATATGGTAGTTCATGATTAACATCTAATTTAGCATCTGTGGATGAATAAATAGTTGAATCTATTTAGTATAGTTTATTATTCTTCTCCGTTGAATATTAAATACACGGATGTGGTCAGTCGAGCTAATACATTTAAAACAGCATCAGATAAAAACAACAAAGTTTTATTAAGAAGTATTTAATTAGAAAGCATAGTCGACTCAAAATATTGTATACTTACGAAACATGTGCTATTTTTTATCGTGTTTACAGAAGATCTATTGATGACTTTCTTGACCATACTGAATTCGTACACGATGTTGTCGATCTATGTAATCGGAACAACTTCGTTGCCGATACTTCATATTGTCTTAAATTTTTAACTAGAAATTGATATAAATGAAAGAGTTTTATATGAAATCAGCATAACCAATTGGTTATAACAAACTACTTTTAAAAACTATAGTTTTTAGTAAGACATAGAGCTCAAACAAGAACAAATCACTCGTACTTAATGAGTGAAATACTTGGCAAAAAAAAACACTTTTTTGATACACGGCTGAGGTAATATAAAAAAAAGAACAATTGGAATATTAGGTCGGCTGACCACGGACATGTATATAGTTGGGTATTTCCAGAGACCTCAGACACACTGTACAGAAATTATCTCCGATTTTGGTGAAATTTTCAGTGTTTGTAGACTTTTTAATTCTAAACACTATGAAAAAGAAAATTGGAAAGTTTCGAACATCAATCTATTTCTTCAAAATATTAAAATGCGAATCTTATTTCATATCGACATACAAGTACTGAGGATCATCTTAAAAACTTTTGTATATCTGAATTTTTTTTCTCTACGATCTGGATGAGGTTAATTTAATATTTGTCTATTGAATTATTCAATCTTGATCTCAATTCTTTGAAATACTATATAAGAATCACGAGTATTTTGTTTGTGTTGCATTATATTTTCTAACTTTATGTTTTCAATTTGTTTGTTTCTTTTCTTGAACTAAATTGATACATTTATCTTGTTTTAAATGTGATGTTTTACGTGCTGCTTTGTTCTTTTGTTTTTTTTGACTTTCTTATTCATGTCGATGATAGTTGGTGGCAAAAAGAAAAAAAAAGTTCATATAGTATTGGATTTGTGCAAATATGAGCTGAATATCTATATGTTGGGGGAAAAACGAGGAAGTCTTATTATTTTATTTAAACTCTTATAGTTCTTTCATATATAAGTTAATTAGTTTGGTTGAATTTGAAATATTGATACATTTGTTTACAATGTTAAAATAGAAAAAATACTTTTCTCACATCTTAAGAAAAAGAGAATCATCTGAGAAATATGTACAGATCAACGTCGTATCTCGAAAATATATTCATCATTCAGTTTATTATTACATTGTTCGAAAAATTTTGGCAAATTTCAGTCACTACTTTTATCATTAACGAGAATAATGTTAAGTCTAGTGACTGAACAAATTTAGAACAAACTAACAACATCATTAACAAGTTTTTATTTGAAAAAAAAACAAATTCAATAATGTTCTAGAATAAAAATAAAACTGATACAAAACTTTGAATTAATATTTTATAGAAGCAATTAAATTATCATTATTGTTTCTTTTAAATAAAGAATGATAGTAATTCAAACATGTATTTTATGAAAACAATTGTAGTTTTCCAAAATAAAATTTTTAATTTTAATAAATAAATAATTTATTTATACTTTTTCTCATAACGAAAACACGTTGCGTTTCTCTTAACTTTCTAATGATGCATGTTTATCTATTTCTGTTTAAAAAAATAAGAATAATTCAACATTCATGAATAACAAACAGAAAACATCATTTTGATTTTGATTTTGATTTTTTTTTATATACAAACAAACAATATATTTTCCAATAAGTAAAATATATCTATAATTAAAGACTTCAGAATAGAAATACAATATGATAATAATTTTGATAAGATATGTTGAGATGAGATTAATCGTAACATATATTGTAGTTTAATATACATGACAAGAAATATATTTACTTTGATTGAAATCATCAAACTAGTATGAACATATGATTGTAAATAGTGCTCAACCTAATATATTGAAAAACGATGAAATCTATTATCATAAAAGCGTTAGTACGCATAGAGACTAAATACATATTAGGAAAAAAAGATTTAATACTAAATAGTTCATGAAAATACTGAAGACATCGATGTTGTATAAAGAAACGTACTTGCCAATCGTAAATCTTATCTTTTATAGTTTTTCTAGGAGATGTTTAAGATTGTTTTGTATTATTTTTTTCTTTTTACACTTCAACATAATTATGTTCAAAAGTATGTCCAGTTATGTCGAAAGATCAAAATGTGTTAATGAGTCATCAAGATTACCTTGATAATAAAGAATTTTGCCAAGACTCATGCAAATCAAAGAGAATCAAGAATTATCTGAGAATGAATATGCGTACTAGAAAGATTTTTATATTGATGATTAATCTCTGCGAATTAATGAAGAAGAAAAATGTCGTCTTAACGATCGCTATTAATTGGTTATCCAACAACTACAATATAAATTTATTCGATTTAGCTGAAATTGTCCATTCTGATTATCCATTGAACAGTGACATGCATGCCTTATTATGTATCTACTATGTCTATTCCGAAACTATAATGACATCTATTAAAATACACATAAATGTCATGAGGGTAGGAAAAGCACTGTTTTCTATTACAAGAATGGATTAACTTGTAATGTACATCCGCAATGAATTATTCACATAAACGAAAATACCCGACATTCATTCTTTCTTTCTTTGTCGCTTTCGACATTGTTCACATACATATACCTTTTAGTTCAGATATGTCAGATAAATCCACAAGCCATCAGTATGGCGAGATCGACTCTTCGTTTTCAACTGAAAGGGTTTCGGCTTCTTCTGTTACATCTGGGCCGACCTTCCTTTCCGTATGATTTTGCTCATTAAATTTGAACAAATGTCCAATATTTTGCTTTTAATTATACAAAGTTACCATGCTCTCTTTCACGTTCATTCTTTCCTTCCTCCTATTTTTTTCTTCAATCGTACTCCTATCATTTTATTGTTGAGTCGAACTTTAAAACAGCAACAGCCATGTGTAAACAAATTGAAAATTATTGAAACTGG